GAATTGCCCAAAAGGATTTCCCACTTAGTTTAGTGTTCAACTAGAACAGAGACAGAGAGGAGCCGTAGGCCTGGTCTGCCATGCAAAGTTCCACTGAAGAGTGATTTTCAATAGAGCTAATTAAACAAAAGCACATCAGTAGCATGCATGCACTTACATCAAAGCACACAGAGATTTCATAGGTTTAATTTATCTTCAAATCAGCTTAAATGTGTCTATTTCATGGGCTAGCACTGAGTGGAGAAAATCAATTTTAAATTTAATTAAAGTGGTGCTCTTTTCCGTTCTTTTCCAATGTAAGGAGCTCTTATAGGCTTTTCTGTTTCCCTTTATTGATCTCAATGGTATTCTATGAACATGCTAAAAAACCCTTTATTTTTCACACAGCTTACTTGCAAAACTACTGAATTCAGTCATTTGCACATGATTAACATTTTTGCAGTACATATGTATTATTCTGTTACATAGTGAGATCCATATTGGCAAGTAATTTTTAGATAAGCATTTTCATAGTTTGTTTTCACTAAATGTCTTGTTGAAAAGAAAATTCGTGGGCCTATGACAAGTATGCAGAAATCTTTTTTATGACTTTTAAGGCAGGGAAAAAAACAATTTGTATTTAAATGTATGCAATTTCCTGTGATGTTGTGAGTTTGTTCACAATGGGGTAACCTCAGTGGTGATAGATAATAAGAAAGCTAATATAAATAAATAAACTGTATTTATAAAGTAGTACCAGCTACAGGTCATCATAGCAGTGTGGCTTGTTCAATACTGGGATGAATATTCTGTTTTTCCAGCAAAATGAAATGTATTTTTTAAAAAAAGAACTTTCTAGCCTCAGAAAATGCATGAATAGTGGAGACTAGAACAGAATAACTCTAATACTTGCCAATGTTCATAACACAGGTAAGTAATTTTAACATCCTCCAACCTGAGAAGTTCCCTTGAATTGATGAGCCTGTCCTCTTAACTGCTCAAACTTCTGACCATACTCAGACAAAAAAAAAACCACCACAAGTATTAATTAAGCAATCCCCAAAACATCCTCCTGAGAACTATTTATACAAGATGCAGTGGTCAGTCGGGGCAGTAAAACAGTGGTTTACAAGAAGCCCAAATAAAACCTAGGACTGTCCTGAGCAGGATGGCCTGTGGCGAGTCAGTGGGTAAACATTCTCAGTGCAGAAAGAAAAAAAGGAGAGAAACAGCCTAAAACAGATGAAGGAAAGTCTGTGAATAAATCCAAGCAAGCAGCGTTGCCTGTGCTCTCATGCACCTTAATCCTTGTCGTGTGTTTGAATTAGGATTATGCTTCTCTCCCACCCACCTTTAAGTCCTTTTAATAATTTGAAACTTACATAAAATATGGAATAAATCTATTTGAAGAGAAGTTCTCTTGTACTGCAGGTTGTCTAAGGAAACCTCCATGTTATGATTAGATCTGTTATTGTTAGATCCTTAACAATTTATTTCAGCGGGAAAACTTCCATTAGATTTAATAGCAACAGGGTCTGAACTACATTTTCATGAATCATTTCAAGACAGTTTGCCATTCAGGAATATTGGCTTCTTACCAAATGACTTTTTTTGTTAGATCATAAGGCAGATAGTCTTCATTTCATGTTATATCCAGTCCCATGGATGTGGTCTTGAAAGTAACCTGAAACTTTGGATATCATAACTTTGGTGAAATAGCCTTAGTACTTTAACACATTATGCTACTATAGTGAATTATGTCTTGGGAGAAAATGTTCTCACATGTCCTATAAAATAAAAATTTACACTGGATCTATTTTTGTAGTGTGGCTGCAGCTCTGTGTCTCTCTTTGGGGTAAATCTATTAAAGTAAGACAGGCCTAGTTGATAAAATCCAAATGTAAGTCCCTTCATTATTCCATAAAAAGGCATTTTCAGCGTGGTAAATAAAATGTCCTTGCTTGAAATTGCATTTAAAACCCAGGCCTTTGTTGCATCAACACAAATATGCAGCAGCAGTGGCACTGACCAGCTGAGCAAAGTGTCCTTTGGGAGGCATTTGGGCAAGCCTGTGGTTGTGAAGGTTAGCAAGGGTTTTGACACTGTTTTGCACCATATTCTTGTATCCACAGTGTTCAGTCTAGAAGCTGAACAACCAGATGGTAAAATACCTGGTGAGGTGGTTTGCCTTAGAGGGTGCTGATGAATGGGACACGCACTGTCTGGAGGCCTAACAAGGGAAGCACTGCAGGGTCTAGAACTGGAACTGTTCACTAGAACTGGCCTGTTTAACATTTCCATAAATGACTTGGAGGAGACAGTGGAGTGTGCTTTCACCAGAACTGCAGATGATGACAAAGTAGAACGGTCAGGGCTGGACTGCTCATGCTGTGAGGCTGCACAACTGGGGCTTGCTCATCCTGGAGATGAGGTGGCTTTGGAGGCCCCCAACAGTGTGTCCCCTCCTCGTCACCCCCATAGTTATGGGGAGCCATTGGGGATGTGGAGCCATGGTCTCCACAACAGGGCATGGTTGACAAGGAAAAATGGCACAAGTTGAAATTACATGTTTGTACTGGTTATGAGGAAATACCTTCTCACCATGAGGAAAGTGGGGTAGTGGCACAGGCTGCTCGAGGTGGCTGCATAGCCTTCATGCTTTGGAAGTTTTTAAGACCTGACAGGAGAAATACACATCATTTGAGCTCATGGTGGAGTCCACCTTCAGCAGGAGGCTGGTCCAGAGAACTGCTGAGATCCCTTCTGACTTGAACAATCCCTGATTCTTATGATCCTACAGGTGCAATTACATTTTGGCTTGGTGTTTACCTGAGAAGCAATATATTGGTAAAGGTTTTCTATAGCCAATTCTTTTTAAAGATGCCTTGTCATAAAACAACTATTTTGCCTGCTTGTTTCGTACACTCCCAAAGTAAAGTAACTCTTTAGACCAACAGACAGAAAACTTTAAGAAAGAAATGTCACTGATGATGAGCAGTGAATCAGCACAGTCCTTAGTGTGTTCTTACCTCTGCAAAAGCTCACTGATGATAATGCAAGGTATGTAGTGGATGTAGGCAATACACACACTTCATAATCCCAGACAAAACCAAGATCACAGAAGCATATAATAAGATATCCCTCACATTTTTATATGTGGCTGATTTGACAAAACAGAATGATATTTCATAGGTTTCTGTGATAATGTGTAATATTTGCTTTCCATGCAACAGAGAAAAACTGTGAAGTTGTGAAGACTGAAAGTCTACACTCTGCTAAGAAATACACTCTAGAAATTGCTCAGTTGAAACAGTATTCACATTACTGTTATTTAGAAACTGTTTGGGGTTTGTACATAGTGCACATGATTCAGGAAGTAGCTGTTATCATTAATCATGTTTTCACATTTTGTTCATTGTGCTAGATCTATCATATTCCTAGACAAAGCTTAAGGCACGCAAATACAGATTTTTATCTGGTCTATGGAAAAGAGGCAGAAGATAAGCAGGAATCTACTCATTTAGGAACAACGAAATTCCTTTGCTAGAGTGTTTTACACAACAAGCAGACACACTGGCACAATTCTGACAGCAGTTTGTCAGCATCTATGGTTCCCTTTGAGTTTCACCACTTGTACTTCATTAATTGGTAGAACTCAATGAGCTTAAGAATAAAAAAACCCACATCTCTTGGGGATTTAAAAATTTTGTTTATTCTGCACTGAGCCACTTTGATTTGCAAGATAAATTACTTCTCATTTTAATTCAGAAACAAAATTCAGTTCTGAGAGGTTAATTTTTTCTATAAATTGGTGTTCTTGGTCCCTTGAAATATGGCTCTGTAATAAGATGATGTTCCAAATTTATATTGCCTGCAGTCTGTTTCATATAATTGGGGATGGTTATGTGTTTTGATGCACATAAGACTATATTTTGGGGGATTAATTTAAATTCATCCCAGTGTAGAAGAAGAAACTTACTTTAGCTTTGTAGGTGCCATGTATGAAGTGCATTGTCTTCTCAGCTCATTTACTCTTAGACAGGTGGTCGTATAACAAACCATCAGAATAACTGGCTTGAAAAAACAACCTCGTGTCTGTCAGGAGGGAGGACAATAATTAATAACATATGGAAAGAGTTACTTTAACCACAGGGATGAAAGGTACCATGGTAAAACAGGATGTGGGCAAATGTATGCTCCAGTTGTCTCTGTCTGTGGTTTGCGTCAGCCTGTTTCTGACCAGGAGGTTCTGGCTTATGGTGTGTCCAGATGATAGTCAGAATAATTAATTTTTTTATTTATTTATTTTTTTTAAATAGAAACTATGAAACAAGCTTATAACTAGATCAGTTCATTGATTTCAGTTGTAAGATTCTGGCTTACTATAATTCCATAGAAATTACTCTTAAATTTTGCAGAAAGTATCTTTATTTTCCATTTCACCCAACCAGTGAACTAGGGGGTACACATGCTTTTCAATTTTGTATGTTCATATTTCCTGAAACTTTGCCTGGAACCTGAAAATTATTAGAAAAGACTGGAAGAATCTAGATATGATTTGTGAACTATCTTTGAAAGAGCAATGTTTCTAGCTGCTACCGCTGCAAAAAAACAGCCCTATTGCAATGATAAGCGTAAGAATGAATTTCTCCAAAGTGCTTAACTTTAATCTACTTGATATCATCCAGAATTCCAGAGGATTTCAGCTCAGATTAAAAACCTTTTTTTACCATGAAAAGTCATGCAAATTGATAAGTGGGTCTTAAGACATCCTGCCTAGGATGACCAAGTCATGCATATGGTAGAGTTTATCACGTATCTCACACAAACCAAGGCAATGCTTGATAAGCACTTTTATTGGGTAATTACATTTTTTTTTTACATTTGCAAATAAAGCAGATTGATCTCCATCTTGAAGTAATTTACTAACACATTATAAACTCGTCAAATGCTAACGTGGTGCAGCATGCCATTTCCTGTTTACTAAGTAATCCTTTGGCCATCTGCTTTGTGTCTTTCAGGTTGAACCTGGAATTGTTCTCTGCCAGGGACTGTCATGGAGCCTGGCGTCAGAGCCCTCCACCTGAAGGAAAATATTGCCTCCTTGGCTTGACTTCTTGCAAATACAAGCCTTAAGCCTTGGTCTGTTCCCAGTCGTTTGCAGGCCCAAGCCAGAACATGCAGAGGTGTTCCAGGGAACTATTAAAAGGTAAAAATGCTATCAAATTGATATCATGCGATGTGTCTGGATATTTATAAGATGATTTTTTTTATTTCTTTAAGCATCTGTTTGTGAAGATTATTTGATATGTATATGAAACTTGTTCTTACTTTCTTTAACACGAAGAGCAGGTGTCCTTTAAAGAAAGGACCCAGGTCATTTCTACCACAAGGTCATCTATTGCATCAGGAATTTATGGAAACAGCAACAATGAAATGATCTTATAGGAACAGCAGAAAAAGGGAAAAATGCCCTTCGGAGCCTTAAAGGTTCACTGAAACAGTAATTTAAAAGTATTTGAATCCAGTTACTCATGACATTTCCCATGCCAATTCAAAGCTGGCCTGCTCTTTCTTCACTTTTTTTTTTCATTTTATTAGCGTATGCTTTTACAGGAAATGAGTTAACATAAATCATATTACAGACAAGATAAGCAACAAAGTCACTGGAAGTAACATGCTAGGGTAAACAAGAATCAGACTAAAGGATTTTTTGCCATATGGGGCACTCTCAAAAGGCATATAAAATCTCCTGATAAATGAAGTATTTGTGGTACTGTATTTCACATGACAGCAAGAGTGAATTCATCCTTTTAGGAAGGGATATTAAGACTGTCCTTTGAGTGGTGGGTCATGAGTGGGAGAGGCAGTGACTTAATTTCCACTTTGAATATCCTAGAGAAAAGGAGAAGATGCATATGCACCTCCTACTGCATTGCAGTTCACATATGCAGTATGCAAAGCCCTATGAATTCTGCTTCCAACAACAATAAAACTGGACACATGTAATAAAAACAGATGTCCAATTTTGTTTTGTAATATTATAATTTTTCATAATTTTCCTGGTTTCTTTTATCCTGAATGGCTGCAGTATTCTACATCTTTTCTTGTACAGAGTTATTATTTTATCCACCCTTGTACAGAGTTATTATTTTATCCACTTAACTGCATAGCACTTGGAACTACCTGTGAGCAAAGAAGGATAAAAATATTTTTTTCTGTCAATGGGGATTGTGGGAAAAACTATCTGTGCATCATTGGTGGAGATTTAATTAGGACTTGTCCATTTGCCTACTTTATAACAAATTTTCAAGGATAACTACCAGCAGCTGAGTGAATATTTAATAAAAAATTCGAACTTGTTTCAGTGACAAGTGAAGCAGTTTGTATAAGCCTTTTAGGAAAACAAATATCTTCTTGTAACGAGAATTGTACAGTGGGAATTATTTGGGTTTCAGTGGCCTGGAGGAGTAATGACATCAATAAGTGCAGTATTATATACTTGTGTATGACACATATATCTGTTTCCTCACAGTGATGTTATCATAAACATAATTAATACAAAATGTGCTAAGTCCCTAAAACCTAACTTTCTGAGTGGTAGTCTGCAGTGTGTACCAGTCTGAAGATATTATAGAACTTAAATTATTGTGCTTTTTTAGTTCTCAGCTGTTCACAGCAATAAAACTAGAAAGCACACTAGCAACAGCTACAGCCTAAGTTCCTTTAAAATTCACCTTACAGGCCCAGGCTGCTGAGGCATATGCAGAGTTCATGTAAATACTGTTGTACTGTACATACTCTGTACTGTAAGTACTCTGCATTTTATAATGCAGAGCAAACTGGTGTTGGAGGAAGCAAAAAAGTGGAAAGAAAGGCTTATACTAGGACACTCCAAAGAGAGGTACCTGTAGAGAAAAGCTGATGTTCCCTGAAAATTCTGGTAGGGTTGTGGTTTTCTCAATCCTCAGAGCTCTTTGGTGATATATTCTTTTGGAGCCTTTTCAACGGGATGAAGGAAGAAGTTTATTTCCATGTCACTTTCAGCATAAATTAACTGCTGTTAGACTGTTTTGAATAAAACTGAGATAATATTATAAATGGTTGACAAAGAAGAATCAAATAGCTTTTCTGGCTAGTTGGTACCTCACTCCAGTGAAACACATACAGAGAGATTGTCTGGGAGCAAGAACTGTGTTCTGGGGTGCTCTGACAACACCCCTTCTTGCTCCAGTGTTTGCCCAGTGGCTTGAGGACTTTCATGATGAATTTGGAACATCTTGTTCCTGTAAGGGACCACAGGTGACTTTGCTGTTCTGCTGTTCTCACCAACACTGGGAAGGGAATGCTCTGCAGTCATCCTCTGAAACAAATCTCCAGTACTGTGATGTGTAATGGAATTCGTGTATTCACGACCAGAAGCATTTAGGATTTAGGTTTTACATTTTACTCATAAAATTACAGCTCTTGCAGCACATAACTCTTAAGAACAAGATGGCAAATGCTGTGAACGCCTTAAAAGAGAAGGGTGCTGTTCAACCTCTTGCCCCTATGAGACCCACGGAAATCCGATATGGACATGACATGACCACAGCAGAAAAATGGTAAGTTATTTACACATCACATACATCAATAATGTTAAAGTGGAGGATGTGTGACTTCATGACATATCTTAAAAAGGTTGCTTGGGGAAGATGTAAAAAATAATTGCCATGATGTTTTTGTTGAGAGTTGCCTTGGATGTAATTATTGATTCTCAAATATGGTTGTTAGGTTTCCTCCTCTCTTGAACAAAAATGTTGTTATTAGGTTAAAAAGAATGGAATAACAAGCTAATGAAGGGAAAGAAACAAATAATCTGCTAAGCTTGCATGAAGGCAGTGACAGCTCATAATTTTTTAATAATGTTTCTCATTTATGTTTTTTGTACCATTTTTTTCTCATGAAATAAGCATGGATGAAACACTGTAAATTTGGTCCAAATGTAAAAGTTATTCAGTACCTGGCCACACTTGGAAACTGTAGCAATGAGAGTTGCTGTATACAGATGAAGTGTTGTTATGTTTCATAATACATATGAGTGATTCTGACCCTTTGAAGAAAAAAGGTCAATGCCAGCTCCTACAAGAGCAAGAATGGTGGCCAAGGGATGTTGGCTGGAATTTGCATGGGCCTACAAATGCATCTTAGTGTTGGCCTGTAGAAAACATGTAGATATTACAATTTTATTAAAGAAAAACACAAATGTGCCTCCTCCTCTCCCCCATATCTTCCAGATCTGCCTAGCAGGGCTAGATTTTTCTCCTACTCATTGTGATCTAGATGGTTACCCACTGGAGATCAAGATGAGATCACCAAACACATTTTTCCATGGGTGACCTAAATCTGAAACTGTTATCTTCCCCAGCTGAGCAAGAAGTAGAAAATAAAAACAAAAGTAACTACTAAAGAAAATTTCTTGGCTTTAAAATTGTTAAAGAGGAAGCAAGCTGTAGCTGAGAAGCAAGTTTCCAAAACAAAGATCTCCTTAGAGTAATACATTTGACACTTTGCCACAGTCAGAGCTCTGTGCATGCCTGGGAAACCCTTGCAGAGTTCAGTTTTAGGAATGTGTGGCTACATGTTCCTCAGACTATACTCTGCAAGGGTTTCCCAGGCATGCACAGAACTTGATGGTGAATTTGACGCATTGATGGGTTGATCGATTTATTGTGTGCAGCACAGAGGGTTGAGGAACTGGCTGGCCCCCTTCATTTCTCCCACAGTAGTGATGATACTTGCACATCAGAACAAAACAGGCTATTCTTTTGCACTGCAGCTGAAATGCCTCCCCTGTTGCCCCCCCAGTGACTGCAGCTGAGCTGAGCTGTTATGGATGTGTTAGCCCTGAGTCCACTGAGAGCTATAAATGTCATGCCCTCAATGACATGCCCTCCAGGCTAGGTGGAATTCATTCTTCAGAGTGACCTGAGGATAGGACCAGTGCCTTCCTTCTCAGGCTGTTTCTGCCAAATAAACAGCATGAGGTGGTAAATACTTATTGAGGAGTTGTTGGGAGGTCCCTTGGCTCTCTTTTGTCTTGGCTGCTCTAGATTGTGGCTCCAGATCCTCCTCCAGTGGGAAAATATAGAGTTATGCTTCTGCCTAATTTCTGTGAGACCAAATCTGAAAAAAGAGCTATTTTTTCATTTCCACATGTTACAATGTACTGGTGGAGGGCCATTGTGGGGCAATGAAGTGGTTCTTTGACATGATGAAGAGATTAGACATATCACCACTTGTGTTTTGCTGCTCCATCTTCTTTGCCAGAGGTTATTAAACCTCTTCATAATGTAAAGTACAGTAAAACCAGAAGACATGGAGGATTTGAGGAGAAAAGCTGTAGGTAATTAATTTATTTTCGCTGTCTGTGGACATTTCTGGGATATAACATGGATGGTGATGATATTCCATGGTCAGTAGCAACACCTTTGCTGCCATGCTTTGCATCCTCTGATTACTTCCCTCTCCAGGCATATGTAATGGATGACAATGTGCTCTCTACCTAGAGCATGTTCTACCATGCTACACTTTTCTTGGATGCTGTTTATTCCCTGCTTTATATAGGTTTCCTGCATATTTGTGACTGATGAATACCATGTTCCTCCCAGGGACTGTTCTGATGTTGGTGGCCTTTTTTTGCCTTTACCTTCACTTTTGCCAAGGAAAATTAGGGAGCAGCTTTTCTGTACTGTGGTTAAATCTCCTGGTGTCCATTGAAGTAAAGCAGGTGCATGCTGGTGTCTTGTTAGACCAGGAGCTGTCCCCTCTATGTCCTTTGAGGAAAAATGGTGAAGAGTCAAAAGCTGGAATACTGCCCAGCAATCTTAATTTCTGTTTTGAACACAGCTGCGAGACAATTTTCCTGGAGAAAATACGAGGTTGACAAATACCACTGAGTAGCCTGTTTGGGAATTTTACCATAACAAATAAGCCATTTTGTTCATGCCTGAGGCTCTCAGATCTGTACCATACGTACCTCTTCTCCTGTCAGGCTGAGGGCTGGATTCCCTGTGCTTGCCTCTGTACTCTTACCTACACAGCTGTTAGCCATTACTCTGCATTCTGTTTGTCTATCCTTTAGCTGAAGGAATTTTTTTTTTTGCTTGATTTAATTTGACTGGGATAAAGTAATTATGCAGAAACCACGATTTTTCTGATGGTAAGCAGACTGTACAGACTATACCTGTCTAAGCAGAAATGGGTAAAACTTGGTTTTATGCTACTTCTGTAGGGAACGTGACATTCTTGGCATTGTGTCTGCATTTTTCTGTGTATTTTTGCACCTAGGAATCCCCATTTCTTCTCACCCATCAAGTTTACTGGAACTTCAGCATTTGTGGCTGATTGAATTAGGTACTTTGAAGCCAAAAAGAAATTTAAATAAAATATTGAAGGTAACATTGTCAAAAATCTTTGTACTTTACCAAGTTTGTTCAAACTGTTTCATCACAGTTGGATGCCCCACCCCTGGAAGCATTTAAGGCCAGGTTGGATGGGTCTTTGACCACCTTGGTCTATGGGGGATGTTCATGCCTGTGCAGGGTTGGAACTAGATTATCTTTAAGATCCCTTGCAATCCAAACCATTCTATGATTTTATGATTGTACATTATGGATATGCTAGGCAAGAGTGTATTGACTATGTGATTGCCTTACTTAAGTTTGTTTTATACAAATGAAGTGTTCACAGTACTTAATTTTCAGGACAAAGTTGGGAATCTAAGATCCTTTCAAAAGATAAAATACATCCAAAAGCTGTGGTCTTCATGTAGCTAAAATGTTACTAGATGCTGGTCTTGCAAAAACCCCTACTGACTGAAAACATGGCTTCCTATCCAAAGACATTTCAAAAGGTGTAATACCCTGGAAACCAAATTCAATCCATCTTAAAATAAAACTTAATTACCTCTGAAGGTCTTGTTCTGAAAGGTGAGTTAAAGCCTGCTGCTCTGTGCAATCACACAAATGTGTTTTGTAAGCTTTCTTTAAAAATGTCCAGCTGGCCTGGGCCAAGCTGCGCAGGCCTGCAGAGCACGGCATTGCCGCTGGGATGCTCCCAGCGAACCCGGCGGGACTCCAGTGCTCTCGTAGATCTGGACGTGGAAGCTGACTTCAATGGGGCTGGGAGCGCTGGCAAGGATGCTGAGAGTTACATCTTTCCACTTTAGAAACTCAGGGGAGATATTAAACATCCGCTTGATCAGCAGCAAACTCCCTGCTCCAAATCTCGCTCAGAGGACGTCATGTCTAATGGAGCTGAGATGCCAGAAAGCTGCACCTGAGTGAGGAGGGTTTCTGCCTCAGGTTAGTCCCCGGTCCAGATCCAGAATAACTGCCAGAGGAGGGAGCCAAACTTCATTTCTGTTGGCAATATTTATTTTGCTGCTGTTCTTTGCTGCGCTTCTGCACTTTCTGCTTCCTTTGTGGTAGGAAGAAGCCAGGTATAGAACAGCGTGTGCTCATGAACTACTTCTACTCAATGGTCCTACTTTTTATTCCTGGTTTGTGAGGTGGTATGGGAAGGGAGATACTCTGCTCTCCTCAATCAGAAGACATAGTAGAGCAGCTGTTCCCAGTAACAATAATGACACTATTGCTGAGACAAACATTTTCACAATGATGCATGGGAACGCTAAATCCAAACCACATTGTTTAGCTAATGCATGCTTTTGCTCTGCTAAAGGGGAATGTCACATAACTGAAAGTAAATTGAAGAGATCAGAGTTTAGAAAATATGACAAAGTTGAAAACTTAAAGCTGTAATACACAGTAACATCCTTTAGCAGTGAAATCAATGATCCAAAGTGGTGTGTGTATGTGTATTTTATGGCAGTTTATTAGGTATGACTCCCCTCTGGCCAGTCCAGTGAACAGACACTGTTGTGAGTCAGGAATGCTTTCTGCCAAGCACTTCAGTGAAACTGAGTATAGCATATAGATCTCCTTTCCCACAGAACATATCAGGCATTGCAACATATCATAGATATGTCAGACTGTAGGTATGGTTTCTGGCATTTTTCTTTAATCTGCACTCCCAGCTGGGACTAATGAAACACTGCTCTCAAGACTTGTGCATGCACATGTGTTCAGAGAGTCCTCACACACTGTTTTAATAAGGTAATACTTTTATTAGCAAGAAAAGAGGTACTTGCCTTCAGTAGAGATGTGGTGCAACAGCTTAGAGAAAGGAAAGTTAAAGATGAATGGAGACGTGAAACATTTAATTCATAAATTAATTACAGAACTAGTGATATCTACCTTAATATTGTGACAGCCTTGCTGCTGGCACTTTCAAAATAACTGATACGGGTTTGAAAGATTGTTGGAGAGCCTTTTCCTTCTGGCACTGTTTTGGCGAGATTGCTAAGTTTAGATCACAAGAATGCAAAATTACTCAATCAAATGTAGAAGTCTGCTAAGTTCATGCAATAAATGGAGATAAAAATGGGGTTTTGTTTCTTGTCAGAGGATCATGGTCAATTTCCCCCCTTCCTTTCCACTGTGCCTTTGCTGTACGTTCTGGGCAATGGTGATTCTACCAGGCCTGATCAAAGCTAGAAACA